TGTAATTTTATTTCTTTTCTTCTTGTTAACCCTAAATTACTTTGCAAATTCAGTGTACTTGTCCCCATTTGGAGGCATTTCGCTTTGTCCATATTGTAATCTTCATCAATAAAATACCCATCGTTAGGACTTTGTCTCGAGAGGTTTTGTTCCTTACACAATTGTTTAACCTTCTTTTAATTGTTAGCGATGGTCGATTTCTACGCGAAACAATTTGGCATCCCCAGTTGGACCATTGGTATTTGAAGATACGAAAAGTGAAAGCAATATGCCTCATAAAAACTCTGATAAAGAGCCGAAAAGCCAACGAATAGTCCAGTCTGTGATCGAAAGATATGAAGAGCAGCAAAGTGCTTTATGAACAGAAAGACAGAGTCAAAGTCGTTACGAGTCAATGACAGAATTGAGTCCTCGAACCATGCGTACTTGCTTGGAAAACTCACACAAGATGTCATTGACCGTGTAAATTTACAGAATGTTCATAATATGGAAAGGTTCGCTCAAAATGGAAATGTACACTATGACAACATGGCCAAACAAATGAACACTTTGAATGAAATCATGAATAAGTTAGTAGGCCAAATCTGTCAACCAGTTATGCCAAGTATAGGGAACCACTTTCAATCCATGATGATTATGGGACGTAATTCCCCAGTCCTGGGTACGAATCAAGGGGCAGAACCACCTTTTGGACCATCTACTTCAAACCAGGGGGGTAACCCAAATGCAAGAGACAATACCCAAGCCAACGGATAGAACACCCCGCGTGTTAATGATGGTGGAAATACTCAGGTTAACGGTAATAATGGTTTAAATAACGGCATTTTTACCACAAATCAAGGACCAAACATTAGGCATCAAGTAATTCCACCAATAAATCAACCTATAGGAGTTCCATATGATCCCAACGTTATGTTGAGTAATCAAATTATGGAGATAGTACAGGTGCAAATGGCTTTTGGGACACGTCCTTTTATTAAGCTGACTTACACAAAGCCATATTCTAATTAGGTGGATCTGGCATATCCACGGCCTAGAGGGTACAAAGTACTAGAATTTTCATTATTTACCGGTCTGGGAGAAGTTTCTACTC